GGTGCTGCAGCGGCTGAAGCAGGCAGCGGCGGTTGTGTGCGCGTACTGCTCGGCGAAGGGGATCAGCGCGGCGGAGGCGGCGTGGCGGTGGGCGCAGGTGGAAAGGTGGTCCTGGAAGGAGAAGGCGTCCGCCATGTCGCGGGTGCGCCGCAGCGAGTAGTCCGCGTACGGCCGCTGCAGGTAGTACTCCTGCAGGCCGTCGAGCAGCGTGCTCGTGTCAGCGCACTGCTGCACCACACGGGAAACATACACGTGGCCAGGATCCACGCGGAAACCCAACGTAACGCGCCCCTGCTGGTGCTGCTGCAGTTCTTTTTCGTGTTGGCCACTCGCCCTCACTATTCCTGCCCCGTTGGCCGCGGACGCATTCTTGCTGCCCGCCATTACCGCCGCCTCGTAGTCCATACCGTACTCCTTGCGCAGAAGCTGAATGTACCTGCCTCGCTCCTTCCGCTCGAGCACGGTCCTCCAGGTTTCCCAGAGGCCGAGTGTGCTGTCCTTGCCATGCATTTCCCGAATCAGCTGCAACGCTCCCACTGCCTCCGCCGACTGCGAGACATGGCGGTAGAGGAACTGCAGCGTGTTCAGGCAGCAACGAACGTCACCGTTGCTGGACTGCACCAAATCCGCGAGGACCGCCTGGCTCACGGCTAAGCCCTCACGCTCGGTGATCTCGCTCAGGCGGGAGAGCAGCCGCTGCGGACGGATGGGCGGGAAGTGGTACACATGTTGACACTGCCGCCGCAGTGGCCGCAGCGACGGCACGTAGTAATCGTTGCAGAGACACAGCACCGGGCAATGGATGTCCTGCTGCAGAAGAAATGTCGCCACGTTGGCAGCAATGCCGTCCATCTCGTCAATTATAAGACACTTAGGCCGCAACAGCATGTCCACAAGTGATGTACCTTCCTCCTCTCTTGCTGCTGCTGCAGCACCACCGTCTGCGGCCAAAGCGGAAGAGGCAGACGGCACCGCACGTCGCCGCCCACGTGCTGGCGCAAGTGCGAGTTGAATGGCGTTCTCCATCCTCGACGCGGCGCGGTCAACACTCGCGTTGATCTCAATCGGCTCATACCCACAGTGCACGGCGAGCACGTGCGCGAGGGTCGTCTTTCCAACCCCAGGCGGGCCCACTAAGACCGCCAGACGATCGTCAGGGCGCAGGGAAGCAGCTGCTGCTGCTGCTGCTGGTGCCGTGCCGCTGGCTGATGACGTGTCTTGAAATATGTACGCGTCCCAGCTCTTCATCCACTGCAATAGCTTGAGGTTGATGGCATCGTCGCTGAGGAGATCGCGAAACCGCTTAGGGCTGTACTTGATCACCCACAGCGTGTCTCCCTCCTGCTGTTGACGTTTCTGCTGCTGCTGCTGCTGCTGTTGTCGCTCCTGTTGCAGGCCACTGCTCAAAATAGCAGCCGCAGTGGTTGAAGCCTCCTCGTACAGCTCCTGCAGAAGGGCTGGGACGTTCACATAGCCAAGGCCGCCCCCGCCGCCACTGCGCATCCTGCGCAGATCCCGCGCCACACTCAGCGTAAACTCCTCCTCCTCTTCCTCCGCTTTCTCCATATCACATTCCGGCTCGTTGGCCCCCTCACCCGCCTCTCTCCCCCGCTTTCGTGAGGCGCGCCGCTCCTCTAGCCCTGATGCTGTCAGCCAGCGCACCACGCCGTTGTCACCGCGAAGCATAAAACTCATCTGCGACAGCGGCGGGAATGCACAGACGCCTTTAGTCGCCGCTTCTGGTGCGTTTGTTGTAGTTTTTGTTGCCTGCAACGCCGCCACACCAGATGGGCCGTCCCACGTGGAGGCAGAGGCTCCAGCAACAGCCGAGAACGTCGTCCCGAGCGGCATCCCCATCGTCACGCCCTCCTGCGGCGGCAGTGCATCGTTGGCGCACGGCACATCGCGCAGCAGTTCTTCGTCCACGTCGTCCACTCCATCGAGGTGCATGTTGGCCTCGAGTTGTGCGGCCATCCACATCGCCTCAGCATCCTCTGTTTTCGCCATCGCGCTATGAGCCACCAGTGATCTACACACTTCTCTATGACCCCTGCTGTTGCTACTGTTACTGCTGCCAAAAAAAAGAGGCGGAAGTAAAGAATAGAACTTGCTGAGAAGAAGAAGAAGAAGAAACGGACCAGCGCTCACTTCCAATACATGGCAGAGGCAGGACGAGGAGTCTGCAATAAACGGCCGCAAGGACACTACGGAATCCGTGTGTCACCACCTGCGCGGACGATGATGCGGAACTCACGCAACGGCTCCTCCCACTCCCTCCGCCATTCGTCCTCTGAGAGAGACTTTGGGATAGCGTCCCCGCCACTGCCTGCGCCCTCGGCTCCTGCTGCAGCTGCTATCGTTGTTGGTGCGTGACGCATCACCTCGGCGTACAAACGCAGTGCCGCGTCCAAATCCTCCTTCGTCGCTGCGCCGTCCTCCACCTGCATGCGAAGTGTGGCGTTGAGGGCAGTGAGCCCATCCCAGAGGTGCTGCAGCTCCTTTCCCTCCTCCAGCGCGATGGCGGCGATGCGTGGGATGTCGAGCTCCTGAATGGGCAGCAGGTATGGGTCGCTACGATCCTGCATCAGCTTCTCCAGACCGCTTTGGTCGCGCCGCTGGCAGCATAGCGGGCCTCGCGGAATGCCCAAGCACGCACGGGGGTTAGTAGTTGCAGTAGAAGCAGCAGCAATAGCAGGAGGAAAAGGATGGCGCACCATTCTGGTGATTAGCCCCTTGCTGTAGAACGCACACCGTGTGCGGCACAGCACACCGGCAACGCGACGCAAAGCCGTGGTGTGCATCTCTCACCCTTGCAAGGAGCAGCAGGAGCAGCGGCAGCAGAAAAACAGACAAGGCATGGGTGGTAGCGAAACAGGTGTAGAAGCCAGTGGGTGCAAACAGCATTCAAGCCCAAGCCCAAAAGGTGAAACAGAAGACGGTGTCAGACGGGCTCGTGGTGAAATCCAATCAGCACGCAGCGGTTATGTATCTATGGAGTAGAAACCTGGCGTAGCACCACAGCAGTTCACACAGACACACACACACACACATATATATAGTCAATCACACAAACAAACTTAAACAATGCGTTACAGACCTGGGCACGCCACGTTAAGGTTCTCGCTAAGATTCCGCAGCGCGCTGTGCACGTCGCCGCGGAGGGAGTTGAGGCGTGTACGCAGCTCCGTCACCTGCTGCTCCCACCCGTGGCGACCGCGGTCGACGTACGCCTCGAACTGCGCGCAGCGGTTCTCCACGACGGTATCGATCATCGCCTGGTGCGCGGACATCAGCCGCCGCACGTGCTCGAGAAGCGGCTGCATCACCTCGCCGCGGACCCGCTGCACACACCGCTCCTCCACGCCCACGAGGAGTCGCCGCACGCGCTGCAGCAGTCGATCCTCCCACACCTCCGGCGCCATAGCAGCGACGGCGGCCTTCGATGTGCGGGGGGAAATAAACGACTCCCCAGCGCCGGTCAGCGGCATCACAGGAACTGGCGGTGGTGCTGCGGTTTCTACTGCTGCTGATGTTGCGGCTGGCAGTGCTTGCGGTGGTGGTGGTGACACGGGCTGTATTCGCAGCTCCTCCACGTCAAGCTGTGTTGACTGCACGGCCCCCGCGAGCAAAGCGATCTGCTCCTCCAGCGCGTCGCAGCGGCGGCCCCACTCACGCCGTGATGTCTTCATGTCGCGCCGAAGCCCTTGCTGCTGCGCAAACATTCCCTCCACCTCACGCCGAAACTCGTCCTCGTGCAGAATACACCGGACGGCTGAACGTATGTGTGCGTCGAGCGCCTCTGGCGACAGGCCGTACACGTCGCCTGTGGGATTGGCGTACCGTGGAGACGACAGGGCGGAAGCAAAGGGCACCGGCTCCGTGCTCACCGTTCCAGCACCGCCGGCACTCACGACACGCCCCATCTGCTGCTGCTGCTGCTGCAGCACCTTGTGTACCATCGAGACGGTGTACTGCTGCAGCTCGGCCAGCAACTTGTCGTGCGCGATAGACGGCTGCTCCAACGTGTCGGCAGCCTTGTCTTGTATTCCGGCTCCTTGCTGTCTCAACAAACTCTTTGACAACAGCTGCTGCTGCTGCTGCTCCTGGTACTGCTGCTGTTTCTGAAGATCGTTGACACGAGCATGCAACGCATGCAGGTCCTCTCGCACGGCGCCGCAGAGCTCCACAAAGCCCCCGCGAAGCGTCTCAATATGTACCAATGGAGCGGTAGTGTCGTGTCTGGCGTGCGCAGCGATACCGATACTGCTACTGCTGCTGTCGTTGTTGTTTTTTCCCCCACTCGGGCTCACAGAGGATGGTGACTGAAAGATTTCACCCTCTGGTGACGTCAACGTCTGAAAGTCGGACGTCTGTGTCCCAGCTGCGTGTGCCCCGGCTGGAGGCGGGCCCGCACTCGAGAGTGGCACGCATTGCCGCGACGTGTAATCCCTGTCGTGCCGCAGCAACGATGATGACGGCGGTGGCGGCGGCACGAAACCGCCATGCCTGCTATCGGTGCGCAGCTTCACAGTCTCAGGTGCTGCTGCTGCTGCTGCTGCTGCTGCTGCTACGGATGGTGGGGTGCTCTGCGCGGTGGCAAAACTGAGCCCACGGATCCACGGCAGCGCATCGATATTATCTGCAGCAAGCACTGCATCAACAGTGGCAGCAGCCGCATCGCCTGCAGGAGTGTAGGGAGTGCGCCCTGGTGACGCCTCTTCGGCGCCGCTGCTTCCCCGACGCCAGGGGGCTGCCAGGAACGCCTCGCCGCTGACACTGTCACCGCCACCACCGCCATCATCATCATCATCATCATCATCATCAACAGGGCGAGGAAGATCAGCCGCATTTACAGCCGGCCTGTTTTGAATGTCTGTGTTAGTGTCGCGGCGCACCGCCTCACGGATGCGCTCCAGTGTCTCCTGCAGGCCCTCCAAACGCTGCGCCATGTGGGCGTCAGCTGCCCCTCCAGACCCTGACGACAACATCTCCTCCCTGTGTTGGGACTGCTGCTTCTGCCGCCGCCGACGGTGTTGGTGGTGATGGTGTCCGGTAGTATCGTCAATGTCGCCGTGAATGGTGTCGTCATGATTCCTGCTTCGCACGCAACGACGGCTCGAGCGTGTGCCGCGGCTCTGCTGCTGCGAGAGGCGGCATCGGCTGGGAGTGCGCACCAACTCGCTCGCACATGCGGCTGGACCCATACGAAGCAGCGAGCTCACCGTGTCGCGTTCTGCAGCAGCAGCGCACGGAAGCGACGGCGTTCGCCGCCGCGAGGCGCTCTCCTGCACAGCGGCCAGTGAGACCTGTGATGACGACGACGGCGACGCCTGGCGTTGGGCGCTCCGGTGGAGCCGCTGGCTGCTGCTGCTGCACCTCCTACCAACGGCAAAAGCGGGACTGCTGCTGCTGCTGCCCCTCCGAGCAGCGAATGCAGGACTGCTGCAGCGGCTGCTGCTGCCGTGGCGACGCTGATGCGCGGCTGGTGGTGTCAGACTTGTGCGGATGGACGGCGCCGCTTCGTATGTGTTGTCTCTAACGCCGCTGCCGCTGCGGCAGTCGTGGCGCTGGTGTTGTTCTTGGCAGTGGTGGTGTGGCATGTCAAAAAGACCACGGCACACCTCGCAGTATGAGGTCATAGCGCGGTAGAAAAGAGTGAAAGGGAGTGAGTGACTGGTACAGCAATACAGAGTGATACGCTCTCCCTTTCCTTCGCCTTCTCTGTGTATGTTCTAGTTTCTTCTTGCGCTGATGGTCTAGACCTGCGTATAGATATGTGCTACGATTCCCTTTTCGCCTCACCCCGATCGCCGCCTCCCTCTCCTGCTGCTGAGGCGGCCCCTTCTTTGCTCTTGCCGTCTATGAAGCGCTGCGCGGAGGTGGTGGGGAATGAAAAGTAGAGAAAGAGAGAGAGAGAGAGAGAGATCGCAGGGAGTCATGCAATGCACCGCACCGCACTGCACCAACACACGCACGGAGAGAGAATATCCATCGCCGCCAGCAGCAGCAGCATCGTCCTCATAAGTGGCGCCAACTCCACCCACTCGCCCACCCCCCGTGCCATCACACACACACACACACACACACACACACACACACAGACTCTCTCTCTCTCTCTCTCCCTCCCGTCATTGCACAACAAGACAAAAGCTCCATTGGTTGCTGCAGTAATAGTGTACACGAGGCAGAGACACAGCTCTCTAACGCATCTAAGCCCAAATCAAAAACAACGTTGCGGCTACTCCCCTCCCCCTCCCAAGCCTTGGTCTTCTCTATCCTACGCAATTACGCCTCGCGCCCATCGGAAACAAAAATGAGCAGCAGCAACAGCAGCAGCAGCGGTGGCTGCAGCTACGTCAGCAGTACGCGGCTGAGCAGCTGCCGCTCCCGCGACATCGCCTCGACGGCTGCGTGCTGCAACCCTGCCGCCTCACGCTGCAGCTCCGCCACCGCACGGTAGACGCCACCCTCCGCCCGCGCCAGTGCCTCACGCACATCCGGCGGCGACACACCTACAGCAGGACACGCATTGGAGGTGGCGAGAGCGTCGCCAAGGCGGACGAGGTCGGCGCCACACCCCGACGCACCCACTGCTGCTGCTGGTGCTGGTGGTGTTGCGTGAACGGCGCCCCTTGCAACGTGCACGACGCGTAGCGCCGAGTCACGCACCGCCCCCGCGGCCTCACGCAGCGCACGCACGCCGGCGAAAACGCTGTCTCCGTCCTCCGCGACAGGCAAAGAGAAGTCCGACCCGCGATCAATGGACAGCACAAAGCCATTCACCGCGTCCTGCTGCTGCTGCTGCGTCGGCGGCGTGGAGCTGTTGGGGTTCGTGGCGAACCTTGTGGCTCGCNGCTGTGCAATCGCATGGTGGCTGAATCCCCTGCGTGCGCGGAGGGTGATGAGACGAAGGAGTTGTTCGGTGTCGTCACGCTGATGCTGCAGCGGTGACTGCGGTCGCTGGCGTCTTCAGGGAGCCTGTTGGTCGAATTGGTGAACAAGCCACTGGCTTCACGGTACGCCACCGCTTTTTCAGGCAACTTTTCCACGGGGGCCACACGTTCCCGCTGCTGCAGCCGCTGTTGTTGTTGCTCCTGCCCATACTGTTGTTTCTGTGCGCGTAGAAACTGCAATTCTCTCATCGCCGCGTCACATTTCCCGCGGAGTTGATCCGCCTCCGCTGCCTTCTTCTCGTACAGTGAACTGCAGCGCTTCAAAATGTCGTTGAAGACACTCTCAAGGCCTTGTGATGAGGCGGAAGGAGCAGCGGCAGCAGCAGCACCGCCGCCGCCGCCGCCGCGAACGCGAGCGAATGAGAGGTCTGTGCGTAGATCGTTGTTTTCACGCTCTAAACGCAATAGCTGCTGCTCGAGGAAGCGGATCTTCCGTTCAGCAGCAATCAACTGTCTCGTATGCGTCACAGCGGGGACTTTGCGATGCTGCAGCCTGTCGCACCCACACGGCCGCGTGCCGATATTGCTGCTGCCGCAGTTGCTGAGCTCAAGCTCCAGTGATGTCTGCAGAGAAGCATCTGGCCCAAAGACATCCAGCGGCGTTGTGCCCTGCCTCCTAGTGTTCCTCTTGTTGCGGCTACAGCCGCCATTGCTGTCCTTGTTGTTGTTGCTGTTGTCGCTGTCGCGGGGGATGGTGTCGTGCTTCACACGCGACCTCCTTGCAGCCGCCTCTTCTTCCTCCACGACGAGACCCCTGACTTGTCGCTGCAGCTCCTCCAGCGTCGCAGCATCGGAGGACAAGAGCCCATTGAGCCGCGCCACCACGCGGTGGTGCTGCCGCGCCAACTCCTGCTGGTGGCGCAGGGAGAATTCCTGGAGCTGCGCCAACGGCCGCTCCAGCAGGCGGCGCACGATGCTAGCAAGATCGGCGGGCGCATCGCTCGGCACACGCGCCGCCCCCTCACGCCACCTCGAGCCCGTGTGTTGGTCCGCGCTGCCGTGCTCGCTGCCGTCGTCCCCCTCGGGGAGCGGGACGAGGGACGGCGCCCCCGCCTCGTCGGCGGTCGTGTCCCACAAGAGATTCCCCCTCCTACCGCTTATGCTGCTGCTGCTGCTACTGCGGTCCTTCACAGTGCTCTCGGGGTGCTCCGTGCCGGTTACGGACGGCGGCGACAGCGGCGACGCCCCGCTTGGGCTCCTGTTGGGCACACACACTGCGTCTCGCTTCGGCGACAGATGTGAGAGAGCAGGTGGCGGTGTCCAGTGCTTCTGCTGCTGCTGCTGATGATGATGATGATACTGTTGCTGTGCCTCCTGACAGGACTCTTTGCCAACGAATACCATCCAAGGAGAGCTGCCAGCAACTGGCGACGTGCTCCGCAGCACTCCCGCGGCGGTGGCGGCCTCTGAGCTAGCGCCCGCCGCATAAGGAGGAGACGCTGATGAAGTACCAGAGGCGTCAAGGTGTGCTGCTGTCAGACTGTTGTCGGCGGCCGCGAAAGAAGCAAGAGAGGCGTTCAAGTAGTCCACCGCAGCTGTCAACGGTCTATTCGGTGGCTCCCGCGTGGGTGACATGAGACGCGGCGTTCTCGGCGTCAGTGCGGCGGTGGGCAACGCCGCACACTCACCAGTACCAGCGCACTCTGATGGCACCAGCCGCGGCGACGCCTCTCGGGAAAAGGGCACAGCAAACATGTCCAGCACTCGAGCAGCGGCACCCAAGTTCTCCTGCCGCCGTCTGCGCCGCAGCTCTGAAATCACGTGGCCGTTGGTACCGTCACTGCCCGCCAGCAGAGACGACGCTGCCTCGAGGGCGTCCTCGTTGATATCGTCATAGCACGCATCAAAGCGCAGCGAGGCAATCCACAACAGAGAGGAACAGGAGTGCTGTATGACAGCCTCTATCATGGCGGTAGTTTTGTCCAGTCCCGCATCGATGTGCGGCTGCCGCTGACTCTGCCAGTGCAGCGGCACGATATCCTCAATGCGCTCCGGCACTGCGTCAGCGACCCACCACCCTCCCTGCAGCTGATCACGGTGGCGGTAGCGAAGCGCCATTTGCGAGATTGCCGTGTGGGTGGCAAAGGCCATGCGTGAGGCGGCACTGCCGTCATCGCGCCAGACGGTCGGGCCCGCGAGGTCCCACAGACGCCACACACTCGTCGTGCCGCTACCGAAGCGCAGCAGAAGCGTCACGAGTACATGCGAACTCGCACCAGCCGTTGGACGCAGAAACTCACTGCTCCAAGCGGAATGGCATCCTTCGGCCCTCTCGCAGCGTTGTTGGTGCACTAATTCTTCTTCCCCTGCTTCACTGACACGGCGATATCGCTCGGCGTCTGGCCGCGTGTCCGGCACCCCGAAAACATCCGCTGAACCCTGCGCCAGCGCGTTCCCCACCGGCTGCCACGCGAGCGAGTAGCGCAGCGCTGTGTGCAGCACTGTAAGGACCTCCGCGACAGCTGTGCAACGGACGTAGCGGGCGGCAGGTATATCCGCATAGTCCTCCATGAAGCAGCCAGTGGGGGAACTGCGGTCGGTGGTGCGTCCAAGTAAGTCGATGGCCTCAGTTGGCATCGCCGCTGCGTCAGTCACTGAAGTGTCCTCCTCCCCATGTGACGTATCCGTCGTGTTAGAGCGTTGCTGCTGCTGATGCTGCAGTGAGTCTCCTACATCGCAAGAAGGGCGCAACTCAACGACGCTGATGGCCACGCAGGGATCAAGTTCCGTAGCGGCGAAGATGCGCCGCAGCACCTCGGTGAACAAGCCGCCGTCCTGCGCGCAGGATTGGTGCTCACCAGCAGCCACAGCAGCGCCGAATA